TTTTTATGTCTATATTCTGATTTACCTCATTTTGTATTTTGCTTTGTGTGTTACCTGTTGTTCTGTCTGTACAGCACTTTGGTTGGCCTAGTAGCAGTTTTAAGTGCTTTATAAATAGTGGTATGGTATCAATCAATACACACAGCAGTTGTTGGTGACAAGAATGTCTGCAACACTCAGCTGGTCAATGATAAGACCAAAAGAAATAAAACAAGGTCTAAAGTATGGCCTCTCATATATATAGGACCAGAAACATGCAGTTTTAAATTAAACACCTCTGAGTGTCAATAACTCAGATGCTATATCACCATATGAATGTTAAAATCTCCAAGAATTAAAACTTTCTCAAACTTAACAGAAGATAAAAATTCAGAAAAATCCTCTAAAAGTACACGAGCAGGTCCATATGGTCAGCCCAGAAAAAACTAAACAAAAACACACTTAAAATATTTACATGGTAAAAAGGTCTTGTTATTCAAAAGAGGTTGTAGTTCATATTGTAACCAGTAATTTATTGCTGTTTACTTTTTATTAGTTCCAGTGTTCAAAATAATACGAGGTGCAAAATAAACCGCAATGGAGTTTGAAAACAAATGTGTGTGTGTGTCTGTTTGGACATTGTGTGCGTGTTGGGTGTAACTTTCTTATAAACCAAAGGGGGACCCAGCAGAAAAAAGTTTGGGAACCACTGATCTACTACTGATGGGAGACTGATGAAATGAAGACTTAAATAATGTTGGTAATTGAATTTTTATGTATATGAATGTTTCTGTTCAGTGCCCTGAGATGACTTCTGTTGCAACTCATTATATAAATAAACTGAATTTAATTGAATAAACTGTAACTTCAAACTGTATAGCAGCTCAACAAAGAGAGCCTTGGTATGAACATTGGGTGAATCTACCATTGTTACCCAATGCTTACTGCTACTTCCTGTATCTGATGGGCTGTTGTACCCATAATCATTTATACAGTAGAGCCCCCAGGAATAAGGTGGATAGCAGCTCGACAAACACAAGAACCTTAGTGTGAACACGGGCTTCATCTTTCTGATGAAATATAAAATGTTTAATAAAGGAGCACTCCTACCTGCATTGTTTTTCAGCTGGATCTGAGGTTTCCATTTAGTTCCAGGGTTAATCCTGAACACATCAGCCCTTTCACAGGCCCCCCGTCTTTGTCTATGTGACAGGGGGATTGGTCTAGGACTTGCAGCTGGAGTTTGTCTGGACGATGGTCGACTCTGAGATCTACTCGTACTTTCATCCAGCAGAGCTTCTGCTGTAGCTGATTTGTTGCCCTCTGCCTGGAAAACAATGATCACTCAGATGCATTTAGGAGTTAAAAACTGTTTAACTTTAAGCTCTTGCATGTACTCACCACCAGGCTGATTTTCTTCACATCCCTTGGAGAGTTAGTCGTTTGTCCAGCTGGTTTATTTTGGGAAGCATGTTTCAGATTCTCTGATTTAGATAACCCTTTGTCGTTGCCAGTTTTAGGCAATATGAAACTGGTTGCTACTCTCAGAGTTGCCCTTTTTTCTTTGAGTTGTTTCGATGTTGAACTGTCAGACGAACAGCGAGGACGGGTCTTCTTTTCAGGAGGCTTGTCTTGACCTAAAGCTAAGCCCAACTTCACCCCCGTTTTGTTTGACACAGACTTCTCATGAGTTAGTTTGGGATCCATTTGGCCACTTCTGGCTGGGATGCGTCTGCCAGCATGCTCTGCTGAGGCAGCTGATGTTTGACTGGAGGCTTCCTGGTTCTTTTCAAAACTGCCCTCAGCAGATTGGAGAGCTGAAGAAGGGTCATTCACAGCTAGATGAGGGTCAAGAGAAGATGCTCTGGCTTTGACGTGTTCATTTTCAACAGTAAGGCCATACGATTGTTTAGCAGCACTTCCATGATTTTTTCCTTGAAATGTATGGAACATTTTAGATGTGGAAGAGGGCACTCTGCTCGTTAATTTGGCAGGAGTAATCCGAATGCTTGTTTTGTTGGTTCCTTCAGAAGGTTTATCAGAAACATTAGCTTGCATTGGTTTGTGTTGTGAAGGGCCTGGGCTCGCTGTTTGTTGTGAGGATTTAGTTAATACTTTAGGTTTTGCACCACTGAGGTCTGATGTGTGAAACCTCTGAGTTTTCTTAACGTTACTGCATGAAGATGTGAGTAATGTCCCCGGACGCTGCTTAGGAGTGACACACATTGGCTGTTTTTTTAGAAGCTGGAGTTCTGGCCTGCTTAAATCTTCAGTGAGAGGAGGCAAGGAGTGGAGTGGAGACATTCTGTTCTCAACGTTTTGTACAGGTGTAGACGTATGAATAACATCACCTTCTTGAATAGCTGAAATGGAACAAACAAATGTCTTGCCATGGTCTGGTGTAAACTCAGAAATCTGCAGCAATGATTCTGCTCCTATGTTAGCCTCATTTGTGAGGCCTAGAGATGTTTCACAGGTAAAAGTTTTCCACAGATGTCCTTCACGCTCATTTAGAGCTTCAACGGAGTCGGATGGCACAATATCCATTTCTTCTGGCAGAAGCTCCGAGCTGTCTACCGGAGTGAAAGTCACACCAAGACAAGGATGAACCATGTTCTCCTCAGTCGCCCGTTTTGTAGAGGATCTGATGACATCTGGCAGTGTGGTTGATGGCAGGTGAACTTCTGCAGGTGATGATAGCCGACTTGCAGATGGAGAGATGTGTGGTTCCTCCATTGAAGAGAAAACTGTCCATGACTGCTCTTCTTGACAGAAACTGTTACTCCTCAGCATTTCTCCAGAGCTCAGGGGGCAGTGGTCCTTCTCACTGGATCTTCTACAGAAAAAGCCATGTAAGCTTGCTTTGAAATCCCTTGTAGCAAAGTCTGGAGATGACCCTTCACCATCACGTCTGTCCTCTGCGCGCTCACTAAATGACCAGTTTGTCTCAGATTGAGTTTGTTCAGCATTCTGGTTGCTGCTTATGACAAATGTTTGGTCCATTATGGAAGACACAACATCGAGATCACCCGGTACTGAAGTGGGATTTGAGAGGTCATGCACGGCGCCTCAAAGCAGCACTCTGTTGATGTAAGTAGAGCTCCAGGATTCTCTCTTCATCAGACTGATCAGATGATGCAGACAAGCAAAGGAGGAAAGGCCAATCTGCATGTTAATGTGTGACCTTACCTCCACTAGTAGATCAAGATTTGAATAATCCAACTCATGAAATTTGTTGACCAATACTGAACATCTAAAAAAAGAAAATAAAAGAAAAAAAAGCATTTTTAAAAGAGCAGTTATTCAAAACATTTTCAATTTGACAGGGTGTTATACAATGTTAATGAATGAGCTAATAATAGCTTTCACTAGTATTTTCTGTAGTTTTTTTTTATTAAATACCTCTATAGTTAAGAAGTTAATTTTCATTTAATGAAGAATGAGGAATAAATAGCCATCCCAACAGCTTTGCTATATGGCATTTTACAGTGTGTTTTTTTAAGTAACCTGGACTGCAAATCCCATCAGGCACTGCAACAAAAACTGCACCATTGTTCAAACCATGGATGAAAGGTTATCAAGTCATCAAGAACTTGATTTTTGTGAAGTTAAAAAAAAGTTATAAAGTGCTTCTTGCATATCCTACAAATGCAAAAAAGTGGAATAAAACATTCAGAAGACTTTTCTGGACAAACAAAAACAAGGAACTCTGTGTCCCTAGCCTGGACGTGGGTTACCGGGTGCCCACATTGGAACCAGGTCTGGGGGAGGGGCATGTCAGAGGGCACCTGGTGACTGGGTCTCTACCCATTGAGCTCATTCAGGCTCAGCACAAAGGAGAAAGGTGGGTTTACCTTCCTGTGGGTCCACCACCTGCAGGAGAGGCCATACAAGTCAGGTGCATAATGCCATGGGCAGTGGTAGAAGGTGACCTTGGCACTCTGACCTTGGCTCTTGGGACATGGAATGTAATCTCCCTGTTGGGGAAAGAGACCGAGCTTGTGCGTGAGGTTGAGAGGTTCCGTCTAGAAACTAGTTGGGCTCACCTCAGTGCACAGCATGGGCTCCAGAACCAATCTCCTTGAGAGGGGCTGGACATTATTCCACTCTGGATTTGCTCATGGTGAGACTCTACATTTGACCTTCTACTTTTGACCTTCCACTTGGTACCTGTGTATTTGAGTGTTCTACAATAGATGAGAGGGTGGCTTTCCTGCACCTTCGGGTGGGATGATGGGCTCTGACTGTGTCTATGTGCCAAACGGCAGTTTAGAACATCCAGTCTTCTTGGAGTCCTTGGCGGGGGTGCCAGAAGGTGCGCCAGCTGGGGACCAATTTATTCTACTGGGGGACTTCAATACACACGTGGATAATGATAGTGTGACCTGGAGGGGCAAGATTGGAAGGAATGGCCTCTCTGGTCTAAACTTAAGATGTGTTGTTGGACTTCTGTGCTAGTCATAATTTGTCTATCACGAACACAATGTTCAAACATAAGGGTGTCCATAAGTGCACTTGGCATTAGGACACCCTTGGTTGTAGATTGATTATTGTCTTCAGTCATGTCATTTGATTTACAGCCATTTGTTTCAGACACTCTTGTGAAGAGAGGAGCTGAGCCGTCAACCAATCACCACCTGGTATTTTGTCGAGTCAGATGGCAGGGGAAGATGGACAGACCTAGTAAACCCAAACATGTAGTGAGGGTTTGCTGGGAGCGCCAGGCAGAAGAACCCAAAGATCTTCTGATGCATGCTCAATAATCCATAAAAGATCTTCAACTCACACCTCCGGGAGAGCTTTGACCGCATCCCAGCAAAGAAGGGGGACAATGAGTCTGAGTGGGCCATTTTTCGCACCTCAATTGTTGAAGTAGCTACTTTGAGCTGTGGCTACAAGATTGTCTACATTTCTCGCGGTGACCATCCTCGAACTCTGTGGTAAACACCCTGGGTTAGGGAGTCTGTCAAGCTGCAGTAGTCATCCCATTGGACATTGTTGACTGGTGGGACTTAAGAGGCAGCTAAGGAGTACCGGAGGGCCAAACAGTACACAGCCTTGGCTGTTGCTCAACGAGTTTGGTGAGGCCTTGGATAAAGACTCTTGGTCGGCTCAGAGGAGAATCTGGCAAATCATCAGGTGGCTGAGGAGGGAAAAGCAGTACTTTACTTAACACTGCTCAGTGAAGGTGGGGTGAGGTAGACCTCAACCAGTGATGTCGAAAGGAAGAAAGAATACTTCTTGGACTTTTTCAATTCCACCAGCACGTCTTCCATGGAGGAAGCCAAGTCGGGGGACTTTGGGGTTGGTCTGTACATAACTATGGCTGAGGTTGTCAACGTAGTTAAAAAGCTCTGAGGCAGCAGAGCTCTGGGGGTGGATGAGAATCACCCTGATTTCCTTAAGTCTCTGGATGTTGTGAGGCCATCTTGGTTAACACGCCTTTGCAACATCACATGAACAATGGGGGCAGTGCCACTGGATTGGCAGACTGGAGTGGTGGTTCCCGTCTTCAAAAAAAGGGGGACCGGAGGGTGTGCTTCAATTACAGGGGCATCACTCTCCTTAGCCTCCCTGGTAAGGTCTTTTCAGGGGTACTGGAGAAGAGAGTCCGATCATTGGTCAAACCTCAGATCCAAGAGGAACAATGCGGGTTTCGTCATGGCCGTGGAACACTGGATCAGCTCTTTACCCTCACTGGAGTCCTTGAGAGGTCATGGGAGTTTGCCCATCCAGTCTACAAGTGTTTTGTGGACTTGGAGAAGGCAGACTGTGTTCCTCAGGGTACAATGGGAGGGGTGCTCCGTGAGTATGGGATTGAGGGCCCATTGTTATGGGCTGTTTGGTCCCTATACAAGCGGTACAAGAGTTTGTTTCACATTGCTGGTAGTAAGTTGGACCCCTTCAGGGTGAGAGTTGGACTCTGCCAGGGCTGCTCATTGTCACAGATTCTGTTCATAACTTTTATGGACAGAATTTTTCTGTGAAGTCAGGGTGTGGAGGGATTCAAGTTCAGTGGCCTCAGAATTTCATCTCTGCTCTTTGCAGATGATGTGGTCCTGTTGGCGTTATTGTGCAGTGATCTTCAGCTCACAGCAGTTTGTAGCCAAGTGGGAAGTGGCTGGGATGAGAATCATTACCTCCAAATCTTAGGCCATGGTCAACCAGAAAAAGGTGGATTGCTCTCTTCAGATCAATGGTGATTTTCTGCATCCGCCTCAAGTGGAGAAGTTCAAGTATCTCAGTGTTTTGTTCACAATCGAGGGAAGAATAGAGTGTGAGATTGGCAGATGGATTGGTGTAGCAACTGCAGATTTGTGGACTCTATCGGTCTGTTGTTGTGAAGAGGGAGCAGAGCTGTAAGGCAAAGCTCTCAGTTTACCGATCAGTCTACATTCCTACCTTCATCTATGGTCACGAACTTTGGGTAGTGACCAAAAGAATGAGATTGCAGATACATTCGGTTGAAATGAGTTTCTTCTGTGTTTTGAGAGATGTCCGAATGAGGGGTGGGTGTAGTATTTCTTCTGGGGTGGGGACTGGGTGGATGTCCTTAGGGGCGGCCCGGGACTGTGCATGGCCGACTGGCTGGCCCCTTTCCTGTGGTGGGGGCTCGCTCCCGGTGCTTCCTGGCTCTGTCAGCGGTTGGGCAGGCGCTCTTGGCTGGGTCGTCCTGGTGGGGTTTGGCTTCA